TGGGATTGCTGGGTCAAATGGTCCAAATTCTAATTTTTTTAATACTTACTTTGCATTATCATATATCCATGCCTATAACCATTTCATTCCACCTCCCTGGAATGGCTTTTCTTACTTGAATTGAAATCCTACCCAATCTTCAAGGACCAAATCACATTTTTCTATAAAAAGGCTTGCTTTACTTCATCTCAAGCAAACTTAATATGTAAATAACTCTCTTTTTAATACTAGTATATTATTTCTTGACAATTAAAATGCAAATAGCAACAGCAACAATCATGGTGATGGCAAACACATTGCTCTTAGTGTCAAGTGCTCTTCTAAGTTCTTTGCAGATTATCAATTCATTTAACATTTACAGTAGCCCTATTTAAATCCTAGATGATTTTGTTTCCCCCATATTGTGCATGAGAACAGAGGCAATGAAAAATCAAATAATTTGTTCTGGTCACTGAGATTTTAAGAGAGCTGAGGCCGGGCGTGGTGGCTCACCCCTGTAATTCTAGTACTTTGGGAGGCTGAGGTGGGCAAATCACCTGAGGTCAGGAGTTTGAGAGCAGTCTGGCCAACATGGTGAAACCTCTTTTCTACTAAAAATACAAAAATTAGCCAGGTGTGGTGGCATGTGCCTGTAGTCCTAGCTACTTGGGAGGCTGAGGCAGGAGAGAATCACTTGAACCCAGGAGGCGGAGGTTGCAGTGAGCCAAGATGGTGCCACTGCACTCCAGCCTGGTGACAGAGTGAGACTCTGTCTCCAAAAAAAAAAAAAACAAAACAAAACAGTGAGCTGAGATACATTTTCTGGGTTCTGTGTCCAGTCAGTTTCTTAGCTCCTACACTGTGCTACACTGTGACACAATGCAAACTTTCAGGGTAGTTAAAAGCATGAGAGAAAATCTAAAGCGACTAGCATAGGGCTTCATGTATAGCTCTAGAAGTTGTGGTTATTGTATTAGTAAGTGCAATAAAATTATTATAAAACAAATTATAGTAATGATTAATAAATGTAATAGGATATCATTGGTATTCTTATCAAATGTCAGCCTATCATTTGAAGTTGATACCCTATAAGTCAGCAATCACAACTGTTATGCATGAGTCTACAACTCACCTACATGACTGTGGTGCAAAATAAGCATTCAATAAATGTTAAGTAAATGAATGGATGAAATGAATGAGCGAACTAATCCAAGAATCTTCTAGATGGGCTCTTTTACCTTTCCTCCATGGTTCTCTGAGGAACAGTGCTAAATCCTTCAAAAATCAGACAAATATTAAGCATGGATTAAATCTGCTTTTCCACTTCCATTTCAATGAGTTATTATTTAAAATAAAACTCACAAAGCAATATTTTTAAAAGTCTACATCCCGAAGTAAAACATGGAAATTATCTGATTAATGCAGATAGCCACTCACCAATTTATATTCTTGAACTCAAGAGAATCATTTAGCTAATTGTATAGGTGATTATTATGCTTTTCACAGAAGTGCGTATCATGCATTTAGAATTTTTAAACTGCATCTCCAAAAGAATCCTCTTAAATCTAATTATTATATACTTAGAATGTTCCATAATCAGCTAAAAGGTTTATTATTTCTTTACAGAAAAAAAGCTTTTAAATATGTGAAAATCCTCTTGTGAGAAGGTGAACTAAACATTTTAAAAATAATTAAGTAGACTTTGTTTTTTAAGTAGGCTAGAAACATATGTTAAAATAACTGGTCAATGAATAAACAAAAACAAAACAACAACAACAAAAACTTCCTCCTTATGTGTTTCTTGCCAAGTACATAAAGTTAATTGTGTGATCTTAAAAATAGACTATATTGATCATAGCCAGAATCCTTGTATTTAGGGAAATTAAGATGATATTTCAGAGAATATTTTGAGACAAAGTGGTGATACAGCTATTGAGTTTGGCTATTGGCTGAAATGCTTGCTTACTATTGTGACTAGTGATTGGTTTAATATCATAAGTAGTACCTTTCTGAATTTAGTCTATTGAAAATGCAGGTATACTCCTGGAAAACATTCACAGGAAGAACAAAAAGAGAAAAGAAAGAAAAAGAGAGAGAAGAAAGGAGGGCAGGAGAGAGACAGGGAGAGAGGAAAGAAACAATGTGGTTTGCTACTCTCAGTAGTCTTAGGGAGATACAACAGAAAAATTAGTTTTCAAAACTCCATCAGTGGTCTGAAACTTACATGTATTCATATCCATTTTTTAAAAGCCACAAATACACATTATATGTATACTTATTTATAAATTATATATCTTCACATATAGATTATATACATATACTTTTATTGCGTGTGCTATTGAAAGTACACAACATTTTACAAGGATGTGATAAATGAAAAGTTCAATAGCTCCTTCCTGCACCACATTTGAGAACCACTGCTGTAGATAACGGCAAAGCCAATATTTAAGACTGTAGGGCTACCCAGTTGATACTCCAACATGCTAGGGTCTCGTAACATTCTGGGCTACCAAAAACTTAACCATGAACCTGTCAACTCAAATCAATGCCCGAATGTTTAGTTATGTTCGTGAAAGCTTATTTTTCTGAAATTATCTCTGAATGTCTTCTAACAACTTTCCAATTCCACTCATCTCTATGATTGTAGCCATAAAAAAGTAAATAAAAGGTTTTTGAGGACAAATGAATGACTGCTCTGGGTAGACTGAGGTTTATCAGTTTCACCCTGGCTGGGTCAGCTGGGGAACTAAGAGGATTCAGGTGGGATTGCTTAAGCTTAAGTACTTGGTAAAAATAAATAAATAAATAAAAATAAAAAAAGAAAACCACTTTATTTACAGAGCCATCAATTTTCTTTATGAAGCTGGTACTGCAGAGAGAACATTGGACTGTGAATCAGAAGATGTGGGTCCTAGCGCCAGCAGTGCTTTCTGCATCTGAGTAGTTGAATGACCTTGACTGAGTCCTTTAACTTTTCAGAGTCTCTCTCTCTGTCTCGCTCAAAAAAAAAATTGTTAAATTCTTTAGACATTTATGGAGCCCCTTCCTGGAGCTTGATATAATAAGAAATGCTGGCCGGCACAGTGGTTCACACCTGTAAACCCAGCATGTTGGGGGGCCAAGGTGGGTGGATTATCTGAGGTCAGGATTTCAGGACCAGCCTAGCCAACATGGTGAAACCCTGTCTCTACTAAAAAATAAAAAAATAAAAATTAGCCAGGCATGGTGGTGGGTGCTGTAATCCAGGCTGCTCGGGAGGCTGAGACAGGAGAATTGCTTGAACCCGGGAGGCGGAGGTTGCAGTGAGTTGAGATTATACCATTGCACTCCAGCCTGGGCAACAAGAGTGAAACTCCATCTCAAAAAAAAAAAAAAAAAAAAAAAAAAAAAGATACCATCGCAAATAACTCAATTCTTTTAAGTACACCCGAAAACTCCAAATGGAGAATTCCTAACTTTCTAGAACTCTTCTCGAACTTTATGGAATTTTGAAATTGAAGTTACTTGCAAATCCTATGCCAAATAGCAGAAGAATTCCTTGCTTGTGATTGCAAACCAGGCATGCTTCCTGGGGCTATATTGGAATGCACTCACCGGCCAAACACTTATTACAAACCCTGTCTTAAAAACAGAAACAAAACCATGGTTTTTAAGTTCATTAGATCATGAGCCTCACTTGTTGAGATTTTTTTGAATCCCATATCCCAACCCTGCAGTTTATGATTCAGTACATCTGAGCCACACACTTGTTCCTAAGCCCAAGTTTTCCACAACTAACTTAAAGAGGAACTACACAGTTACAACACCCATGGTATTCATAATACAGAAACAAACCAGTTGCTCAGGAAACGCCCAACCATTCCTGATAACAGAAGGAAATTTCTCTCTGGGGATAGAAACAATGAACCAAAGCAAAATGGCTGTTGGTAATAAAAAATACTGTGTCTCACATAGAGACTGCAAAGTAATCTGCTGTGTTCTTTAAGACATATTTCTAGGCACAGTTTTCTATTGATTAATATCTTTTGTAGAATTTGCACCTATATTGGAGGGTATAGTACCTGGGTCACATAAGGTGATGAGTCAATATTATTATAAAGATGGAAGGAAAAAAAGAAAAGAGAAGGAAAACAGGGAGAGAGGGAGAAGGGGAAAGAGGGGTACAACTAATCTGTTAGGTTGATTGCTTCCACCAATTCAGTTCAGAAAGATCCCTTAAGCTAACACTTGGAGAGCTGCAAATGAAACTCTACCTGATATTATGAAGTAAAATTAGCTTGGATTAAATCCAGCATTTGCCATGTGTTTTCAAGAATATTTTGACTGATTTGCTCCAATTATACCTGAATGTCTTCTAAAATTTTTCCTCTCCAAATTCCACTCCGTTTTCAAGGGCTAATTCAAGTCTTAACTTTTTTTTCTGGAAGCTTGTAGTAACTATTCTAACCTTAATAATTTATTCTTCTCAAAACTTTGAGCTTGCAAGTGTTGACAAGTATATGTTGTCAACCTGAAAGGAATGTAAACTCCTTGAATGGGAGGGGCCATGTCTGATAAATCTATATGCCACCAAATTACTTAGAGAACCTCCTCAAGTTCTGCATTATCACCTTCTCTACGGCTGTATTTAATGTTTACTCCTGAATCTCAAATATTTAGCTGTATCTTCTAACTTAAGTCACTGCCTCTCAAACATCTCCATATAGATACATCACCAATACTTCAAACTCAAAATATCCAAAATTAAATTTTCTCGTAGTTTCGCTCTTTCACTGATGTTGTTTAGTACAAAAATCTAGAAGTCTTGCAAGTGTTCTCAATTTCTCCCTCTGCTACTCCTTACCCATAATGTATCAACTCTGTCAATTTTACTTCAGAAAACGATATGAGATAATGATGGAGAAATCACACTTTAAAGCAATAAAATATGTTTGCCAAGTCATCGAAACTTATGTTTGTTTGTTTATATTTTTGTCAGTGTGATCAAGAACAGGGTGCTTCCTTTCATGGAGTATTTTTTAAAGAAATGTTGAATAAAAATAGCTAGATAGTGCCTACTCTGTTTTAGATACTGTGCTGGGTACTTAAGCTACCTCACACACACACACGTGTTCTATGTGTGCACATGGTGTGTGCGTGAATTTGCCTAGTGTGTATACCAGTCACCTATATTGCTGTGGTCCAAACAAAGTCCAAAATAAAGAGACAAAATAAACAAACTGCTTTGAAATTGAAGGGTAGAAAGCTCAATCGTCGCAGGATTCAAAATTGATTTATTTCTCTCAACTGGGTAGATTTAAATATGGCGGCAATGGCTGCCTTAGAAATATGTATTAAAGAGCTGATTTAATATGTAGTTCTAAGTAGATTTATTGATTTTTCCAGTGTCACTTTGGCATTTTATTATATTTATATGTATTCACATATTTTGTATCAGGCCAATTTATTCCCAAAGCATGTAGAACAATTTTCTCCAAGAACTTCCTTTTTCTTGATAACCTGATATATTTGGATCCAAGATGCTTGCTCCATACACACTGTCGTGATCCAGGGAACTTGTGATCCTTATTGGACAGACTTCCCATGTCAGGCCCAACTCAACAGGAAGCCTCTAGAGCCCTCTCAGGTGGGCCCTACTGGGTCTCTGAGAGGCTAGGTAAAAAGGATCGTTTCGGATGTGAGATGGTGGAATCGGACCCACTGACATTCACTTCCTTGGGGCAGTGAACATACTGCTAGGATCAACAAGTACAGTATTTGCTGACTGTGTTCTACGTGCCAGGCACCATGGCAGGGGCTGAGAGAACAACAGTGACAAAAACTGACCTGATTCCTGACCTCACAATGCTCACAATCAAGAGAGAGGGCCAAATATGTAATCAAAGACATAATCATAATCCACAATCTGGGCTATGAACAAAAAGGCCAAAGTATTTATGAGAGCACGTGGCAGGTGTATTAGCCTGGCCTGAGGGTGGGGAGTCGAGGGGTCAGGGAAGGTTTTTCTAAGGGAGTGAAGTTTAAAGGAACATTTGCAAAAGAAATAGAATAGACAAAGCCCAAGGGGGTGAGGTCTAGGGAGATCATGGTTAGATGAGGTGAGATGAGTCTCATGTGGAACAGTAGTAGGAAAATGGTACATGCTCAGTGAAAGTCAGCTCATTTCTGTGCTTTTAAGAACTTCCTATTGGAGGAGGAGTCATGAGTTCGCCCACACTCCATGCTAGCACCTGCAGGACTTACATAAGCTGGCCCCTGCCTGCACCATCTACTCTACCCACTGCTCCTTACTCCCTATGCTTCAGCCACGTCCAGCTTCCATTTCTGGACACACCCAACAGGTTCCATTCTAAGACCTTCATTGTAGCTATTTTCTCTGCCTAGAATGCTCCAGGTCTTTCCATGTCTGGCGCCAAGTTCAAGCCTTGGTTCAAATGTCACACTCTCAGTGAGCACGCTGTACCCAGACCATCCTCTATGAAATAGCCCCATTTGTCTGTCGCTTCATTTTATTATTTCATGGTATTTTTATTACAGCTCAAATCACTAGCTGAAGTAATTGTGCTTACTTATCGTCAAGCTTACTGTCTTTCTCAACTGTAATGCAAGTAACAGGGCAGGGATCTTATCTATCTTAAGTCTTAAACTGCCATGAGCTCGATTCCAGATTCAACTGTGGCAGATTCAAAGGCACAAGCATGTAGTGGACCGTAGGCACTCAACATATAACTGCTGCATGAGTGAATGGAAATATAGCAACCACACATCCTACAATAGAGGAACAATCTCTGTCAGTGGTCCAAAACCCTGTTGGGTACATGAGGACACTGGGGAGCACTTTCCTAGGCGGACTGAAAATCAATCAATCTTCTGTATAATTTTGCCTCCGGTGACAATTTCCCACTCTGGGGCTTTCCCAGGAGAGAAAAGCTATGCGCAGATACAGCTCCATGTACCTCTGCTGCATTAATTTCCCTTCTGAGTAGTGACACTCTTGGATGTTATATTCCTAGATTACTGTTCCAGTTTGGCTTTAAATATATTATAAATGGTTATTACATTTTAAAGAATAAATGCTTTGAGAAATGTGGGAGTTCCACTGGAGAGTCTTTTGAGATCAACAGTTATAAAATCACCATATATTGCCCAGACCCTCAAAATCACCCAAAGAAGTGTATATAACTTCCCCCTTATCTATGTCAACTTCACTTTGTGCAGTTTCCATTACCAGTGCTCAACTGTGGTCTGAAAATATTAAATTAAAAATTCCACAAATAAATAATTTATAAACTTTAAATTGTGTCACATTATGAGTACCCGTGATAAAATCCCATGCTGTCCTGCTCCATCCCACTGGGGACGTGGGTCATCTCTTTGTCCAGCTATTCCAAGCTGCTGATGCTTTCACCCATCTGTCACATAGTAGCCATCTCAGTTGCCAGATCCACTGCAGGGTGTCACAGTGCTTGTGTTCACATAACCCCATTCTACCTAATTATGGCCCCAAAGCACAAGTGCTGATGCTGGTAATTCGGATATGCCAAAGAGAAGCCACAAAGTGTTTCTTCTAAGTAAAAAAGTAAAAGTTCTCCACTTAATAATGAAAAATGAAAGGATGCTGAGGCTGCTAAGATGTAAGGTAAGAATAAATATTATATCCATGAAATTATGAAGATGAGAAAAGAAATAAAATATGTGCATTGTACATATAGGGTTTTTGTACCATCCATTTCCCGTATCCACTGGAAGTCTTGAAACGTATTTCCTGAGAATAAGGGAGGACTGCTGTACTTGGATTTCCCACAACATTCTCCCATTTCTTCTCTTTCTTCTCCTCCCCCTCCCCCCCCCCCTCCCCCTCCCCCTCCTCCTTTCTGCTAGATACTGAATCACACAACAAGATACAACAAGCAGTGCCTTTCTGGGTGTTTATAGCACACTCTGGATTGTGTCATGAGGCACGAGAAGTGCAATAATTTCCCCAAATCCCAGGGAGGTGTATTGCTTTAATGTAGTTGACTCTCACTATAACATGAGAAAACCAAACAGATGTATTTACTGGACACTACAAGGTGAGTATGGAATGTTATTATCACTCCATCAGTAAGCCTTGAAAGTGTTCAGAGTCTGAAAACAATATCTTGCTTTATGTTCCAATGTGAAGTCAATTCATGTACCCGCTCAGTCCTGGATTTTCTATGAATTATTTCAACTACTTTTGTCCAGAGGGACAGTGACATAAAAATAATCTATTAGAAAATATGTACCAACGTGGCATTGTGCATAAGATTTAAGTGTACAAGTTTTATAGACATAATAAATATTAATGAATAACATTTACAGAGCCTTTCAAACATCCCACGTAGTTTGTCATGGATTATCTCATTTAATCTTCAGAAATACTCTAGGAAGTAAGCAATATTAACAGCCTAATTTTACAGATAAGAAAACTGAGGCTTATAGCAATTAAGAAATTCACCCAATGTCACAGATCTAGAAAGTGGTAAACCAGGATTTGAACCTAGGTCTCTCTCTCTTTCTTCTAGAAGTCAAAATGTTAACACTAAACCTTTTGACCTGGTTCAACACCTTGTTCTACCACACATCTGCTATGAAACCTTGGATCTCTAAGCCCAAGTTTTCTAATGGGGAAAATGGTGATGATAACAGGATTCACTTCAAAGATTGTTTGGGGGGTTAATATAGCTGAGTCCTTGACTTATAGAAAGTGCTTGATAAATTATGATAATTATCATTAACTTATGTAAAGCCCCACTCCAGATTCAACTGCCAAAGGCACAAGCTGCTTTTAGGTGGTTGCCAAGGTATTTGGAAGACAATGCAAGCAATACGCAGCTACAAAGTCAACGAGTAATAAAGAGAGTTAAGAATGAATGGTCAACTGCATAATATTAGCAATAGTAATATTGCTTTCTTTATCCTCAACCGCATGATATTCTCAAAAGCAGGTATTACCTTCTGCTCACAAATGAACCTGAGACCAGAAAGGTTATTTGTTTAATAGTATATAATTGTCAAGTATTACAGGTAGGATTTGTATCAGGCCAGCTCATTCTAAGGCTCACATTCTATATACCACCTTGTACTATGACATCCCAATTCCCACTGATATAGGAACTCAGAGGCTGAGGGGATCAGTGGCTACAAGAAGAGAGAAAGGAAGAGGTGCTGATAGGGACCTGTAATATAGTTTTAGGTGGTAGAATGCGATCATAGTAAGAGAAATCCCTGATCATGAAGAAGGAGGAGTCAACGTACAAAGCATTACACCACGAGGGAAGAGAATGGAACCCAATGTTGAAAATGTGGGGAAAACTAGGCAACAGAGGGTCTTAAACGTTAAGCTGTGGCCTTTGGGTCGCACTGATAAAGAATTGAAACAACGGGAGATTTTGAATAGGACAGGGAGAATGTGACCACAATATCTTCGGAATGATCCATATAACAGGAACATGCAAGACAGAGAAGTCACTGACCAGCTTTCGGAAGACAACAACAACAAAAGAGGGATGAAGACCTGAATACGGTGCCAGGAATACGGGCTGGAAGATAAATGCAGATGAGCTCTTAGAACTCAGGTTCCAAGAGGGCAGCTTTCTGAGGGCTAAGGCTTGGTGTTAAACTCCCTCTGATGCCTGGACACAGAGATTTGATAGGTGAAGCATAATCTGGCAAGACACTGCTATAAAGTTCTTTACAAACACAAAATACAGTTGTGATCATTCCTGGTTTATGTAATAACTATTGAGTGTTTCATTTTAGCAGTTTATTCAAAATAATGTGGATCTCTCTGTTTGTAACTAGAATAATTTAAATTAATAAGAAGTAAAGTTGGGTCAGACGTGGTGACTCATGCCTATAATCCCAGCACTTTGGGAGGCCAAGGCAAGTGGATCACTGGAGACCAGCCTGGCCAACATGGTGAAACCCGGTCTCTACTAAAATACTAAAATTACTGGGTGTGGTGGTGGATGCCTGTAGTCCCTGCTACTTGGGAGGGCAGGAGAATTGCTTGAACTTGGGAGGCGGAGGTTGCAGTGAGCCGAGATCACACCACTGCACTCCAGCCTGGGTCACAGAGTGAGAAGACAAAAAAAAAAAAAAAAAAAAAAAAAAAAAAAAAAAAAGGAGTCAAAACAAAAATGAGCTTCCTGTCTTAAGGAATCAAAGCCTTGTATTTATAAAGATTTATTGGGGTATATCAAATATATATCCTAGATAGATATCTTGAGGTTATTGGGGAAATGGTTGTCAGAATTATCGCCTTATCGTCTTTTTCTGCAGTTTGACATCAACAGGTGATCTCCAGTATCTGGTAGCTACATTGATAATAGGACCTCACATTCTCTCTTTTCAAAGGGAACTCATATACTGAATTATCAGAGCCCAAATGAAATCCAGTTAATAGCTGAAATTGCTGTTTTCTTTAGTGTGTTGCCTTATCTCTTTTTAACAAGCCTTACTTACTAGGGTAATTGCACTGAATTCAATCCATTATCTATGGATTAATTCATTAGAGTGGTTTAAACTTTTGGAAAATGGATGGTTTTTAGCAGTCCTCCCCTCCATTCCACAAATTGACACTGTAAAACACGTCTTTGCCATTTTTATAGAGGCTCCAATTCATGAAATAAAAATCAATGAAGACATTTCCTTTCCAAGCCCTCATGTCATTGTTATGCTCCCTTGGTTGCAAGGAAAGCCTTTGGGTAAAGGGAGGACAACTCTAATCAGAAAGAGAGTCATTGTCTTCAGGAAAGCGTGAACAAATGCATTTCTGGGCCAGTGACCTTACCACTGTGGCTGCCCCCAGTGTTACTGCCTTTGGGGATGAAGCTACAGAACCAGACTGTCCTTGTCGGTTGGGGCTGGTGTGGGAAAATGCCTAGAAACCCAGACCCAGCCCTTTTCTGAAAGCAAAATAAAGTCGATTATTATATGAGAATGCCAGTGATTTCCCTTTTGCTTGATGTTGCCCTTATCAAGTGCTTTTTAGATTTCATCATGTACAGAAGAGATTCCAGAACACTGTTCCAACTGTTCTAACTGGAGATATCAGAATCACCTGAAGCTTAAAAAAGAACACAGTTCCCAGGGATCCATTCCCTAGAACTCGTGATTTAGTACATCTGGGCTAGTGCCCAGGAATGTTTGTTTTTAAAAAAGCTCCAGGTGATTTATATGCAAAATTCATGTTTATAAGCTAGTGACCTAGTCATGTTTCTGTTTTCTTTTTAAAAATGACCACTTAGCCAAATGAATAAGGAAGACTGGAATTGTTTTATGTATGACACCAATCAATCAATGGTTTTAGTTCTATTAAATATATCAGCCGATTTGGGAAGCTAGGAAAGAAACACATAGTATGAAAATCCAGATAATATTGTCCAACCTGAGACCATTCTATGTACCTGAAGAACCTTGCCTCCCTCGGTGGCCTTCTGATCACATTTTGAGAATGGTAAAGACAAATATGGACAATCCTTTCCAATGTGTGGAATATCTGGGTATCATAAAAGTTGGACATTACAAAAACATTGTGTAGTAGTTTTAAAATATGCTCACAAATTCTTTAACACTTCCTCCTTCCGAAGGCAGAGCCTAATCTTTCTCTCCTTTAATGTGGGCTGGGCTTAGTGACTCACTTTTAAAGAGCCAAATGTGGGAGAAATCATTGTGGGTCTAAGGATGGGTCCCAAAGCTGGGTCATAAAAGAGATGTCTTCTTCTTTTCTCTTGACTCTCCTGCTTTGGTAGATGCAAGATAGGTCATGATGACATTCAACCAATCTGCGGAGGAATTCCAGCAGAGAAAAACTTAAGCTGCCTGCCAACAACCAGCATCAACTTGCCAGTCGTTTTAATTAAGCTACCCAGAAAAAAAGATTCTCCTGCCACAGGGAAGACTTCAGATGACCTCAGTTGGGGCAGGTGTGTTGAATGGCAACCTCATGTAACGTCTTGAGCCAGAACTGCTGCATTATTCCAAGCCCAAATTTCTGACCCACGAGACTGTCAGAATTATTAAATGTTTATTGTTATAAACCATGAAGTTTTGGGGTAATTTGTTACAGAACAATAGGTAACTGATATACCTGAGCAGACTTTTCTTATCTAACTTACATTGGTTTTTTTACCTCTACCTCTGTTTATTCCTTATCTGGTATACACAGACACATAAAAAATGGTCACACATACACATCAGCAAATATTTCATAATTTGTAAGCATTGTTTTAAGTAAAGTCCCTAAAAATCTTGATAAGTAATGGTTTATTAATAATAAGTTTGGATGGCTTCAGTGAGGTGGTATGTGATAATAAAATAATTAAGGTAAACATGAACTGAAAAAAAATCTGAATAGTAGGGGAGAGACTGTAGCCAGGGAATGGTCTTAGATTTCACAAAGCCACATCAACACACATGAAATTAAAATTAATTGGCAATAACAGATAGCTGCTATAGGCAGTATGCAAAAAATCATCTTAGTCCTAGCTTTGCAAACATTGTTCAAAGAGCAAATTCAGAAGAGGAGTTGCTACGATGAAAATATATCTGATGAAGATGAACTCTGAAAGTCTAAACATGTCTCTGGGAAAAGGTGAAGTGACAGCTCTCTGCTTAGGGGTAAAACAGCCATGATTTAAGGAAGTGATTTGCAAAATGAGGCCTCAAGAAATGGAAGACTGAAAATCAGCCAATAACTCAGAACTAGGTGATGAAAGAAGAGGATGTGGACCTAGTTAAGTGGGTGAATAGTTTCTTAATGAAACAGAATGGGTATCAATGCAACTGGCACCTTGTTTATAGCTCTCTATATTAGGTATCTACAGATAAACACTACAGCTAAGGATTTGGTAAGCAGATTATAGACTATATATTGTCATTCCCAACAACTCTTCTTGTTAAGAAGCCTTAAGTTAAAAGAACACAATCAGTTCTTGTTTTAAAAAAAGTTCTTGAATCCTCAAGTCATAACTGGCAGAGTTAAAATATCAGAGGCTCAGAACACACCTTTTAAGTGGATGAGTAACTTGTTACATGTCAGGATTTTTGTCTTTGAGAGGATAAGATGTAGTACATAAGTTAGATGGCAAATATTGGCAAATAAAACAAGAAAACCACCTAACTTTCTTTCTTTTTTTTTTTGTGAGATGGAGCCTCACACTCACGCACTGTTGCCTGGGCTGGACTGCAGTGGTGTGATCTTGGCTCACTGCAACCTCCGCCTCCCAGGTTCAAGTGATTCTTCTTGTCTCAGCCTCCCAAGTAGCTGGGATAACAGGCACACACCCACCACACTTAGCTAATTTTTTTTTTTTTTTTTTGAGATGGAGTCTTGCTCTGTCGCCAGCCTGGAGCACAGTGGTGCAGTCTCGGCTCACTGCAATCTCTGCCTCCCAGGTTCAAGCGATTCTTCTGCCTAAGCCTCCCGAGTAGCTGGGACTACAGGTGTGTGCCAAACGCCCAGCTAATTTTTTTGTATTTTTAGTAGAGACAGGGTTTCACCATGTTGGCCAGGATGGTCTCAACCTCTTGACATTGTGATCCACCCGCCTCAGCCTCCCAAAGTGCAGGGATTACAGGCGTGAGCCACCGCAGCCGGCCCAATTTTTTTTTTGCATTTTTAGTAGAGTCAGGGTTGCACTATGTCGGCCAGGCTGATCTCGAACTCCTGACCTCATGATCCAACTGCCTCCGCCTCCCAAAGTGCTGGGATTACAGGCGTGAGCCACTGCGCCCAGCCTCAACTTTTATTTTAGATTCAGATATGTGTGCAGGTTATAAGGGTATACTGTGTGATGCTGAGATTTGGGGTATAATAGAGCCCATCACCCAGGTAGTGAGCATAATATCCAATAAGTAGTTTTCAATGCTTCCTCCCTCCCTCTCTCCCCACTCTTGTAGCCCTGAGGGTCTACTGTTCTCATCTTTGAGTACATGAGTACCCAATGTTTAGCCCTCAATTATCAATAAGAACATGCAATATTTGGTTTTCTATTTCTGCATTAGTTTGGTTAGGATAATGGTCTGCAGCTGCATCCATGTTGCTGCAAAAGACATAATTTTGTTCTTTTTTATGGCTGTGTACTATTCCATGGTATATATGTTCCAGTTTCTTTATCAATCCAGCATTGACGGGAACTTAGACTGATTCCTTGTCTTTGCTATTGTGAGTGGTACTGCAATACATATATGAGTGCAGGTATTCTTTTTGGTAGAATAATTTATTTTCCTTTGAGTATAAACTTAGTAATGGAATAGGTGGGTCAAATAGTAGTTCTAGTTTTAGTTTTCTGAGAAATCCCCAAATTGTTTTCTACAGTGGCTGAACTAATTTACATTCCCACCAACAGCGTATAACAGTTCTCTCTCCTCCACAGCCCACCATCATATGTTATTTTTTGACTTTTTAATTATAGCCATTCTGACTGGTATGCGATGGTATCTCATCATGGAAAACACCTAACTTTTAAATACATTATTCAAATCTCCCAAAAGAGATAGATTTCCTTTGACTATAACGAGAAAAAAAATTTTTTAAAAGGAAACAAAACCAAAACAATCAGCACCTCCACTAGCATTCCACACACTCTCCAAAACTTAGCTGTTGCACAAGCAGAACAAACAAAGATCAATACGGGAGTTGTTCTTGCTAGATTCCTTCTTATTGCCGGGATTCGCTCTGAGGCCGATGTGAAGCAGCCAGGTGGGCGGTTGTTGTGCATAGTGGGGAGCTTGCTCATCTAAAGGCATTCAAATTCAGTAGTTAAAAAAAAAAAATCCCTGCGCAGGCTAAACAAAATCCTGTTGGCTGCAGTGTATCATTCAGACAGTAAGATTGCAAGAATGACTGGTTTCGTGGTAAGCTTAAGAA